CCCCCAAATTATGAAAAAACCTTTTTCCTAACTAAGGTTTTAAGTATTTCTCTGTGATAGGACATTTCATACACTTACTATTAAGAGTAATGTAATGGTGCACAGTCTTAAGTTTTGATCTTTGTATTTTAAATCTACAGTCATATATTTATCAGGCTGTAGTACCTGTGACAGATCTAAACTTTCACTGCCTTATTTCCAGCAACAGGCTAGCTGAAGGCCAATGAAGATCAACATGTTAATTAAGCATTACATATTTTACAGCAGCCTCGGTGTTCCAGCTTAACAGAGCATATCCTGGATCTGTCCAATGAAATTGTTTAGAAAAGACGTGAAGGGGTTATTCATATAACTCACCAACAAGGTTAGAGTGACATTACAGGGTGTGATTGTCAGGCTGGAAGGTTTTCATATTCACAAACACAAACTACTAGGTCACTCTGGATACACTGCATCAAAGAGGTAACTTTTTTTTGTCCTTTTAATTTAATTATTTGCTGTGTGAATAAACCCTGCAAACGGAAGTCCTCCCTCAGATGATCCATTCATTGCATGCTGGGACAAACTGGAGCCAAAAAGTGCAACACTGAAATAAAGGTAAAAATCACGACAGGTCCAAGCATCACTTATGGAGACAGACGACACAGAGTGGTGATCTGACCGTGACTTTGTGCTGTCCGGTGAGGTTGGGCCATTCACACAGCAGCTGGCTCTCAGACAGTGTGAGGATGCAGGGCGTTTCTCCAATCAGCACCGTGTAGTTCAGGCGACTATTACCTGGAGCCGCTGGGATCAGGTTACGACCCTAAACACAGACAAGAGAAAAATGCAATGCAGGAGAGGTGTTAAGCAAATTTATGCATGCCTTAAAGTTAAAGTAAGGTTTATTGTCCCCAAAGGGAAATTCATCTTGGACACAGTGTCACCGTCTGTCACCTTACATATTGATAGACAACAAACTGTCCACAAAACATTTAACAATACAAACATATTAAAAACATTTGATAATACTATCAAAGATACAGTTTACACTTAACATACAGTCATGCAAACGTGCATCAACCACATGTAAAACATTCCTAAAAATGCATAAACAGGACATACATATTTCCAAAGATCTAAATACTTAAATATTTGTATTCTGATTCAGCAGTTCAACAGAGGCTGCGACAAACGACAGCTTCAGGCAATTTGATTTGCACTTTGGCAGCCCGAGTCTCCTGCCTGCAGGCAACAGTTACACACATACTCAAAAGAAAGAGGACGTCGAGGGTCTGCTCTGATTTTTGTAGCCTGTTTTATGGCAACTTTTTCATACAGGCTCTGTATGGATTTGTGTTTCCTCAGTCCTCTGACTTTCATGCCTGTCCTGTGAAAACGTACCACTCCATTTCTCAGCTGTGCTGTTAGGTTGCCGAGCAATGCTGTAATACTGTATCTGATTATACTTTCCAAGACTGCCCAATAGAACAGCAGCATGATCTGGCTACTCACTCCATACAGCATTAGTAGCCCAAGAAAGCAAACCCTCTGTTGTAATCTTTTACAAAAATCATCGATATGTATCTTCCAGCAGAGAAGATTATCTAAACAGACACCTAAATATTGGAAGGAAGACACCTGATTGATTGCCTGGTTTTTAATGACCATTGGCTCATGGTTAATTGCCTGCCTCAGGTCAAAGATCATTTCCTCTGTCTAAATAACATTTAGAATAAGAAGGTGCCATGGTGGTACAGTGGTCAGTGCTGTCGCCTCATTCCAGGTTCCAGGCCGACCTGTTTCCTTTCTGTGCAGAGTTTGCATGTTCTCCCTGTGCCTGCGTGAGTTCCCTCCACGTGCTCCGGCTTCCTCCCACAGTCCAAAGACATGCAGACAGGCGATGCTACATTACTGTAGGAGTGAGTGTGGTTGTCTGTCTCTAAGTGTCAGTTTAGATGAAAATGTCTTATCTCATCGTGGTACACGGAAACATCCATATTCTTTTGCAGACGGCTCACAATTTATTTATTTAATAGTATGGTTGATTCAGACTACACTTTTTTTTCTGATATGATGGTCACTATGTCAGAATACATGATTGTAGAGTCATACATTCTTGTATGAGGGATATTACAGACTACATGTTAGTACCTGGGGGCAGAATAATGGATTAATGCACACTTGGTGCTCTTGAGCTTACAGCAGCAGGATGGTGTATGTAGGGTCGAGCCAAGATAAAGTAGAGTGCACATGTTTATCATAATGAAGGAACATGTCACCCCATGCAAAAGCGGCTCACTGATGTTTTTTTAATAGTTTTTCAAAAATAATGGAGCCATATGTCACAGAGGAATAACCTACATGATGCTTTGGATACACAGAGGTTTCATTTAATTCATTTGTTCATTGTTGGTTTTGGCCTTTTCATGGGATTTTTGTTGACAATGAAAAATCACAAGACATTTAAACAAAACTCACTTGTTTATTTATTTGCAAGCATCAGGCGTTGGCTCGTAACTGTGGAATTGCTGATTCACTGCTCTTATTTATCTGATTGTGGTTTAATGTATGCCATTTTTAGGTTTTCACATTTTCTCTTCTATTTTGCAATTACTCTGCTAAAACAACCCTAAACTAGAGAAGATAAAAAAGAGGAAGAGGAAAAAGAAGCTCTGAAAAGTGTACTCATGCTTACTGTACTGTACATAGTACACAGGGGGACTAGAGGGACTAGAGGGACACACACACTCTCACCCACGTAGATTGGATTGGGGTGTGTACTTTTAACATTTGTCAATGTCAGTTCCAGTTTTTCATTTCAGTGTCCACTCCACTAGTTCCAATTTGACACACACTTTGTCTGTGATGGACAGGAGCAGTTAGTGGTGTGCAAAGAGGGAACCCAGGTAACAGCAGGAAAACAAAAAGCAACAGGGAGAAAGATGAATTCAAACACAACAACACAGATAGTAAATGTGGAAGAAAACTCAGGAGAGCATGCTTGAGGAGTGGAGAGGGCAGAGAAAAGGTTTTAAGAGAGGTAGAAAACAATGAATGAATAGACTCCAAAGTGAGAAAAAAAGGGAATGAGCAGGAAATAGAGTGAGATAGATGGAGAAAAGGAGAGAGAGGAGATAGCTGCCGTGTCTCCCGCTGGTTTAGCGGCGGGACGCAGAGACAGACTCCGTTTTCCAATCCCATCGTCTCTGCAGGTCGCCACCCAGCCCTGCTCCGCAGCCCTGTAAACATGCATCCCATTCCATCTTGCACACACACACACACACACACACACACCCTAGTCACAAACACACATGCAGAGTTCAACCCACACATACACTTGACTTAGAGCTACACACAAAGCTGCTGCCGCACACGCACCCAACAGACTAGAAGCATCACGCAGCGACACTCTCCAAAAGCATATACAGGAAAGCTCTCACTAAACACCGAGACCAGATAAATATTTTTTCTCTCGCTAACACACCTCAGTAGAAGCACACCCGACACTTCAGATGAGAAATTAATTGCGTGGCGAGCACATGGCACGCATCTCTGAGAAACGCTACCCCGACATCCAACCCTATTAAATTGCATTTTTGTCCATCTCATCAGTGCTTCCAGTGGGTAGGCAGTTCCACCAACAAGCCAAGCAGGAGATTTGGCAATTACTGAAAGGCTCTCTGCTAATAAATTATCATTCAAGAAATAAATTACCACTGTTACGCTGCTTTCAATCCCTTCATGGAAATAAACGGCATAACACACTCTGTGATAACCTAAACGATACTCATGGTAAATTCTAGCAAAAGAATAAAGGTTCTGAACACTGGATTGAATGCAGATTAAACACCTATACTGTAGAACCCATATAGTGTATATAACACCAGCAGTCAAGAAATTTTTATTGCTTCCTCCTTATGTCTTCTAGGCGAACAACTGGTTATTTCTCAATAGCAATAGCACACATACAGTATATTCCCTCCAAAACAGCCACTTCCTCCAGTCACTCTCACTAAACACTGCAGGTGAGCTCTGTGAGATAACGCAACACATACCTACGACTCGGAAATTGCCAATTAAATTCATATACTTATGACCAGTCATTGATAGTGAAAATGAAAACCAACATAATCCAGACTTCCTGGACCGTGGGCTTGTGTGCTTCCATGTTGTCCTTTAAGCACTGGAAATTAATTACACCAATTGAAAGAACCATTATTTAAGTGGTCTCCAGGCTGCAGATGAGGACGGCAGTCAAAGACATCGCTGTTAGCTACTGAAGAACCGAAACAGGCCTTTCATGGTGTGGATGATGACTCTGTGAATGTTTTTTTTCCTTCTCTGATAGACCTTGTGAAAAATTTCTATATTTTTTCTGGAAAAAAATTCTCTGTGTATGTCAGTAGTCTTTGCCATTATTAATAAAAGACAGGTTCAATATGTTTGAGACTTGCAGCCATCTTAAAAGTAGAAAAATCCCTGGAGAAAAACATCTATCTGCCCTGACCTGAGACCTAGGTTCAAATAAAGTATTTATAATGTGTGTAGAAGTATACACATGTGTGCACTCTGCATGTAAACACACCTTTTTGTGTAGCTGCTCAGCATCAATTTTCTGTTAAGAATCAATGACAGCAGTTGAAAAACAACCACTAGTATCCATATTATTTTGTCATATTTATGTTGCTAGCTACAGTAAATCAACTTGTAGCCCTGTTTGCCCTGTTCAACAGTCTTCCTTTATATATAGTATAAAGCGACTGATAAACAAGAATAATGCTGTCTCTTTCTGTACATGTCTTCCACTGACTTTTTACCCGGGACTTGTAGCTACATGTAGCTTTGGTTTCAGTCTTTTATCTTAATACTGTATGTAACTGGAGTTCAGCCAACTCACAGGTTAAATTTAACTTAATAATTTGCTGGCTACAGATAATAAAATCTGCTATAGCAATAGCTGTAATTCCAGCCAACAAAATCTGCATTGACCAGTTAGAAATTAAAAGTCTACTGTTGTCTATCCCTGTGTGCATATGTGCTGAACTTGAAGCCTGACAGAGAGGCAGGGCTGAGCGAGAGGTCAACTGAGAAAATTTCCCATCAAATCTGACCTCATGATACAATGTACTGTTTCCATTTTTGTGCAAAAAACAGGGGCATTTTCTGCTTCAAAATTTCTGTTCATTCCAGTGCATGTGTGTTCTGTCATGTGAAGGATCTATTCACCAATCTCTGTGCATACTGAAAGTAAAAAAATCAGCATGAAATCTGGTCCATTTTCTTACATCCAGTAAATGTGACAATATCCAATTCTGTGTAGGTGTCAATGGCCTCATTGCCTCTGCATGAGCTGTCTAAAAACAGTGCACTTGTCCGTTTTCATCTTCACAGTTCTATTGTGGAACGAGTCCCTGAAATGTTAAACAGTGTTTACAAAGCCACCTAGATAAGTACTAGCCAATTCTGTTTGTGAGGCAGAAAGCTCAGATCACAGTGCTGGTAAAATAAAATGAAATGTACAGACAGGGACATAGAAATCTCTCAAACAACGCTTCACCTTGAGAATAAGTGGCGATGTGGGTTTGAGCTCAAGTATTCCAGAAGAACTCAACGGTTCAAACACAGGGTCGGGGTAGTAGCTGAATGTCTCGTTGACAACCACCAGAGCGTTCACGTTGTCCATGTAGAAGCCGATCTCATCCGGGCCGGTCCCGGTCTCCGAAAAACCCAGCTCTGAATCCGCCACCGATGGAGCCAGACACACCATGACTGAGTTGTTATACACTGTACAGTTCTAAAAGTGAGGGAGAGGAAAAACAAATTTATGACTTACATTTGCAGTCACTGCAAGAATCTACTACAATATATTTAAATTTAAGGCAAGGCACTGTAGATGAGCAGGGAAATTGCAAATTATTTTAGTCTTCACAGAATGGAGCTATTATCATATAATTATATACTGTATACAACATATAAATGGTGTGGGCACAAATCTAAATTGTTTTCCTTTTAATAATCTAGTTAGAATTTTATTTACAAGATAACATTGTATATAAAACAGGCAGCAGAGCCTCCTTTGAAAATACTGAGAACAACCTGCATGCTCTAATTTTATTTTAAAATCGATCTGTTGGGTATAATAATCCACCCTTTTTGTAAGCCAATGCCCCGTGAAACTGAGATGCTGTTAAACCTATTTGAAATGTAAATTGGTTGCAAACGGTTATGATCACCCGTTAATGATGGGCAATGTGCTGTGTGCATTTGCTTTTACCTGAGATTATTTTACATCACTGCTGTGGAGAATACATGAACAAATGATGTCATAGCCACGTCTGTATGTCTAGCGTCTACGGTTTTGCCAGCGTTTGTTTGTTGGTTGGTTTGTTCACAACATTACTCAGAAAGTAATGAATGGATTGAATTCATGAAATTCTGGCACTGATCCAGATCAGCAGCTGGATCCAGGATGTTTTAAAAGTATTCTTCACCACTGTGAGATAGGGCCAATTTCAGTATTTTGGCTTCTAACTCCATATACAATGCCCAAAATGCTTAGACAAAAATAGCACGATAACATCCATATCAGATCTACTGTTCCACACACCAAAGCCTGATTTGGATCCAACTATAATCCAGATGTGGTGATCCACAATGTTCACAATTATAGGGCTCCCAGAAAACTAGCTGCTATGAGACAACAAATAATTGTACAGACTTGCAACTAAGACCAAATTGTAGCTGAAACTGCTGATTCAGTAGGGAGTCAACAGATTTCACATATCTGGTACATTCTGTTTTGTTTTTTTGCATATGGAAAGAAAGATTGTGAATGACTTATTTTGGTGCAAACTGCATCTCACCTAGCCCGACCTTGCTGTGAGGCAACAGGGCTAACAATCTACTTGAAAAAAGTCACTAAAAGTTGGCTTATACTGCATTAAGGTTAATAACATAACAATGCCCACTGTATCTGTAAAGTGAGAGAAATGTACTGAAAAATGTAAAACACTATAGTATGTATTGGTGATTTGCAGTAAATGAGTAACAACATTGAAAAATAACAGTATGGTACTTTATGGTGCTTTGATAAGGGAATATGTGGGATGCATTCCCTGTTTGCCTCAATAAACAACGGCTTTATCTGCAGGTTTAAGTGCCTTACTATTGTTTGAAGTTCAGTTCTTAACCCTGTCAGCTAAAGAGCTTGAACTCTCAGTGACAATCACCAAAGTGCTTTGGAAACATTATCTACAAAATTGATAAAAAAAACAAACAATGCATTGAATGGGACTTTCTACTTTACTCCCCAGACCATTTTCTGCTTCTATCTCTCTTTCTTACACAGGCAGTCTCTCTCATGGCGTCGCTTTCTTTTTGTGACACAATCACTCATGTGGCCCGATGACACTGAGAAGCTGTGTGGCATGAGCTAGCGTTAGATATCTGCAGCTGTAGAAAGACTAAAGTAAGCAACACACGAAGAGGTTGCTTGCCACCTTCAACGGTATTATTGAGGCAGTTGTCTGCAGCTGTGCTTGTTTCTGTGGACAGGTATGTGTGAATGTATATTTGTTGGTTAATGTATGTATACATGTATATCTAATATACAGTATGTGCGTTAGAGCTTGTGTTTGCTGGTGCGAGTTTCTGCACAGGCTGCTTGTCTATGCAAACCACTTGTTGGTGCTTGTACTGTATGTGTTTCGGTGTGTGCCTGTGTTTATGTAGACTGTGTGTGACATTTCCCTCAATACTCACATGAAAGGATTCTGCCTGCCCATACTTGGCCCTGATCTTTGGTTCTCGGATGGTTGCAAGGTTGGTCCCACTAACTGTCAGCAGCGTCCCACCACTGCAGGGGCACAAAAGAAGAAAGCAGGCGAAGAGTAAAAAGAAATGCTCAGTCTGTAGAGAAGACCATCTTGCTAACAAACATCTGATTCAGGCTTTTTATAAGCAGCAGCCAAATGTGACTGCTACACATGCACCCTGCAAAACGGACATTAATCTAGCTTGCATCTACCGGAAGTGGTGCGACAAAAGGTGCAGGGTTTCACCACCAATGACTGAGTCACATCCTGACATCCAAATTAGCAGTGTTCTGCACTGCCTAAACATAACCATATAAAAGCATAAAAATTCTGGAATGCTGCAGCAACTACAAGTGGAAATTGTACCCAAGAGTGGACATTATAGTGGAACATTTAGAAAACATAGTCAGTAAACATTTTACTGATATGCTCAGTATCAACATTTCTTCATAGTGATAGGGTTAAGAAAAATGCCTAATCCAGGCAGTGTTACATTTTTGTAAATTAGAAACATAATTTCTAGCAATCAGGGATGGCTAACACGAAAAGTTTGTAAAAGGAACAAAATTAACAGTAGCATTTGCAGCAGCAAAAAAAAAAAAAAAAACTGTATAAAGGTTATGAGACTGCAGAGTTGAGCCCTTAATGTGTGCAGCTGTTATTATTTTAAATAAATATTGGCTCCAAGTGTAGGGTGGATTGCCCTGTATATCAGGTAGGGTTGAGGGATGAAGCTTCTACTGTGTAGTAGAGTTTACAGAAGAAGACAAGGGAGCGTGTGTGTGAGCGAAGGTGAAACAGAATAGAAAGAGGTAGAGTGAGAGACTGAGTAAAAAAGGAAAGATCCACCGATCTGCTCTAAGTCTCCCCACAGTAAATGTGTGCTTGCCTTGAGCCAGTGAAGGTCACTGTAAATAACTACCTTGGCTGAAGCCCCAGGCATCGTTTTGTTGGTGAGCTGTGTGTGAAGGCAGACTCACACCGTCTTGCTGTAGAAACATCTATCTCCATTACTGAGACTGCTTATAAGTCTGAAACAACAACTGTGTAGTCTACACATTCTACCGACTGTCAAGTCTTTTTGGAGATTGTGATAAAATCCTCCCTATAGTGGTATCACTCGTTGGTCGGACTTAAAATGACTTGTGGACTTCATTCCTTTGATGACCCCCTACAATGCAAGATTACTAGTACTCAGAGAGGCTCATGAAGTTCTCAGAAAAATAACATCGTTTTCATAGAGGACTCTTGCCACTAGTAAAGATGATGGAGTTAGTCTGTCATTTTCACTGCTACACTTAAATTGGATTTATGAGCTTTCCATGAAAAATATCTTACACTCTTGATGCCTTTCTTGTTTTTACCAAGGCAGTCCCAACCTCTGAGTACTGTACCATGTTTTCTGCAAGTTGACTGTCTTTGACTGCTTTGCCTCTGAGAAATAAGATTCCCTATCATGTGTTTTTCTGCAGGGCCCTCACTGCCTGGAGGGGGATATATTACCGTCTCTCCCACAGTTGTCAGAAATAAAAGGCTGAGACAAAACCTTGTATCTTGAAAAAGTCATAAACAAGGCACAGCTCCCTTACTGCACATTGGACACAAAAGTCTTTTTAAACATCCATTAAATACTTTGGGCCTTTGTAAAGTTGGTCGCTCAAATGGCCAATACCCCTGGTTATGATATCTCACTAAAACAGGGGTGTGATCTCTCTGCAGATGTCGTGCTGTCTGGATGTGGAATTTAATACACCCAATTCCCTGCACAGAGATCCCTGACTCTGAATACTGCCTCTGCTATCTACACCTTAAAGACAAGTGTTTTTAAGATTTACTCCCTCTGTTGCTTGGGTATCTTCAGTGGTATCAGCTCTCTGCAAGGGTATATTGCTGAAGCAGGAAATGGCCCTGGACTATTTTACTAGAGCATTCACTGTTCTGTAGACAGACTTAGCACTTTTTCTCATTGCAGACTTGGCTGCTGTGTTTATTTGTTTAGTTGCTCTTGAATATTGTGTAACATAAAGCCAAAGTATAGTTTCAAACAAAAAAGGACATCTTAGTATATTTTGACCGATTAACTGCAGACGGTGCCATCCCTTAAATACCTGTGGCCCTATAAAATGGCACTGATATGCATGTTCTTTATCCCTTCATCCCTGTCCTTCACCATTCTTCCAGGATTCATAATAACTCGGACGGTTTTGAGTAATCCTGCAAGTCTACCTGCATTGCCTCTAGGTGAACGTGATGGACCTGCCGCATAAGGTATCCCTTGGGCTTTGTGTCATCTGACAAAGAAAGCAGGAGTATTTTCATCACACTGTGCAGCGTCAAGTTGATGCATGGTGACTCCTCTAATGACACACTGCTTCTAAATTGGATGACTGACTGATGTAAAAGTTGCTTCTGACAAACCTTTCTGAGGTATTGGGCTTCATCCCTGGCCCAGCTTGGAGCACGGAGTACCCTCCCCAACCCTCCACTGCAGAATGAAAACAAGGCACATTCCTTCTAGCGGGCTAACATGCATTACCATTGATTTCTGCAACATGTAGGTGTCTGACACTTATCTTGAACAACTCAGTGCAAAGTAAATGATATGGAGATACAAATCGGTGCAAAAGCCTTTTAATATTTTAGATACAGAGTCTGGCTGGCTATTACTTCACATTCAGGAAGACTAATAATAACAGCAAATGGTAATATAGGGAATGACTTGGAGTAAATGATAAAGGCAGACATACCATTTATTGCATGGTTGTAGACAAAGGATTCAAGTCTGGCTATTCTTCTCAGCTTTCTTTTAGCAGATTGCCCATTGCTGGTTAGGAAAAATGAGCCCCATTCATTCTGAGCAGCTCTGGATAATGGCATCGTGTGTAAGACGTGATTGTAGATGCTACATGTGCATCAAGTCTTTGACTGCTATCTTGACATCTGGCACAGGTGTAACAGTATTTGTTCTTACATATAGTTTTCAACAATATGCAAGAACATTGCTCTTGCAGTGCTTCAAAAACTGTACCCTAAACTGTGCTTGCTCATATAATGCATGGGATGCTAATAAAACAAAAACAAAACAAAACAAACTAACAAAAAACAAAGTGACCTAGCACAATATTACTGTGCTTCCTATAAAAGAAATTAAGGAGGCTTAATAACAAGGGAGTAACAAAGCTGAGGCCACAGTCAAATGAACTGATTTTTAATTAGGTGTTTATGTCATTGCCACAGATGCATCAAGGGACTAGGCAGACTGCATTTATAATACTGCCTGTCCTCTGCTTTCTTTCTCATTCGCTTCCTTTCTTCCTCAGCTTGATGTATATTTGTGCTGAGTCCTTCTGTCCCTGTTGCTCCTCTCTTCATCTAAGTGAGTTTCTTTAGCTGAGGTACATGCTTCAGGGAACTGGCAACAAGACAATCAGGATAAACTCTCAGGGATATCTGGGGAAATCCAACCACTGTTGTTAGTGTTTCTCTTTATATATGTTCTCCCTCCATCTCCTGCCGGTCCTCTCTTTTTGTTTTACTTCTCCCTCCTCGCTGACTGCCATGTTTTTAATAATATTTTACTAAAGTGGGGGATTTTTTAAGCCTGTAAGTTGACCGTAACACTGCTGCCTCAGGTGAAAGCTTGACTTAAAATTCTGGCTTACAGAAATGAAACATGCACAAAAGAAAATTTAGAAATGAAATGAATTAATGTTAACATAACTGCAGCAATCAGTGGATTAGCAGAATTATCTGTGTGAATCTTTCACTTCAAGTTCAACTTTTTGAACTTTTACATTTGAATTTGCATCTGTCCAACTGGCACAACAAAAGAGACATGGTTTGCTGACAGATATGAGGCAGGAGTCAGTAGTACAATTATATTTTGTGTACAGTAGTAGTAGTTAGCCAAGGAGCTAATTGAGGCTACCAAACTTAAGTTAACTAGCACGGAGAGTCTCTTTCCCTCTTCTATACATTTTTAATTGAGTGAAATTATTTACAAATATGGGAGCAAAATGCCAGGGGAGTGCAGAGAAAATAGAAAAAACGGACATAATATGAATGATGATATTAAGACTAGTGCTTGCATGTTACCAGCTAGTTAGCATGTCAGTCATTAGTTCTTCGACTACATTAATTCACCAAGTGTCCTGCCAGTATGTCCTAGTGTAGGTCACTAGGCTTGGGATGGACACTGATATGCTACTTTCTGGTGTGCCGTTTATGTTTGTAATACTTCTGGTAAGTTCATTAGCACCTTTAGGATATTGTGGGAGCTGCATCCTTGTTGCATGTACACCTACATTTAGACTTGGCAGCTGCATTTGACTAGAAGGCAGATTCATTGCCTTGCTTAAGGGCACCTTGGCAGCACTTGCTGAAGGAATGGCAAACCTCATGTCCAACTGCAGTCAGTATGGGAAAAGATTTAAATGTTTTGGTCCAAAATTGCTTCTCTAACATCCACTGCTGTCCATATTGTTTGGTATCCTGGATGAGCACTCCTCATTGATATATTTTTGAAGCGCTCTGTCTTCTTTCTAAATGGGAAATCATCAGCCAAGCACAATGCTATTACACTGTCTCTTTCCTTGCGCTCTTTTTCTCGTCTCACTGTCTTTTATCCACTCTTGCTATCATCACCAAAGCACAGTGATAATGGTCTGGAGGCGTGTATGTATTCACACCAAAGCAGACAATGAAGCAGATATGAGCCAATATGATATCACATCTCATGGGTTTGTGCTTTCTTCCTGAGCCAACATGTGACACCGTGACAGAGGGCACTGATTGAAACGAGTCAGCTAAATTAAAGCTTCGTCTAGCTGGAAGCACCACATGCACACTTTGTGTATCACAGCTTTGTTGCTGTTTGTGAGGTGTGTGTTGTTTTGTGGTTTTCTCAGCTAGATGGAGGAGGAATCTGGGGCCAAACATCAGGGACTCTGGGAATCAGTAGGGTGTGTGTTTGTGTGTGTGCGTGCATATGTCTTTTTTTTATGTGGGCTCACCACCTCTGAGTGAGCTTCCTAAAGTAGAATGCTAGTTTTGAGCTCCACACACAAACACCCTCACAGTGGGTGAGCAGGGCAGTGATTGGGCCTTAGCTGTTTCTCATCTAGACCTACTGGGCAAAGGGACCAGGGTGGATTCATCAACACTTTTTCCTAACAAGCTCTGCATCTATGTGCTACCATCTACTGATGAGTCACCGCAGGAAAGGAAGCAACACAGGAAAGAAAAGAGGAAAGAAAGGAGCAGGAGGGAAAGAAGTAAAATGAGGGTGATTGGGCAACATAGCTGCCTATTTCAACATCTTGAAATAAATTAAGACTATATAGTCCAAAAAAATAAATAAATAAATAAAACACAATATCACAGAGTATACAGAAAGAAAAAGCATACAGCATGTGTTCTGATATAATATGTTAGACTGGTAACATAATACTGCGATGGGCTGGCGACCTGTCCAGGGTGTACCCCGCCTTTCACCCGCAGCTGGCTGGGATTGGCTCCAGCCCCCCGTGACCCCGTTTGGCACTAAGCGGTTTAGAAAATGGATGGATGGATGAATGGTAACATAATACTGTAGGCTCATTCATCCTAACCGAATTTTAGGCACTGTCAAATCACAGGAGGTGGTTTGTAACAGGCAAATATGGAAAACTGTGACCTCCCTTGCCAGCTGACATCCAGCTCTTACACTTAAAGATCCAAGATCCACACAGAACTTGAGTCAAACAAGGACTGGCAGGTGGGATTGTAATTAATACTGTGGCAGTAGGAGAAAAATCAAACCCATGTGAGGACAGAAACAGGTTTAAAATCACTGAAGTAATCTGAAAATCACCCAACATCCCAAAGAGATATAAAACCCAGTCCATGAGGGCCTTCAGAAAAGCTACTGAGGTAAGGACTAGGTTTGCTGTATCCATCATGAAGTATCTATCATAAAGACCAATTTGTGTGTCTGTCCTCCCCACCATTAAATCTGCTTCACTGTCAATTTAATGCTTGTGTGTGTCCTTCCCAGTGATGCTGCCGACAATGCTGAGTAGTGAGAAGTTATTTATTTAGCTGGGGATATTTACAGTACAGTGCTGCATGACAGACTGTGGAAAGCTGGGTATCAATCCCATAGTTTCAGGCAGAGACCTGTAGCTTCACACACCATCCGCTGATCAGTTTTCGCTGCCTCTTCAGTCAACAATTACATTCAAACAACTAATGGATTGTAGAATCTGACACGCTCACGCTCCTCATTTCTGGACCAGCCAAGCTGCTGCGGCTACTGCTGATTTCCTCTATTAAAAATGTCTTGCTTGAGTCAGATGAGAAATCTCTGGAGGCACCATCAATCTACCTCCATCCAAACTCGCAGTCATCTAGAATTAGGCTGCTTATTAACAACTGCTTCAACAAAGTTTCTTCAGATTTGTCCTGGTGATGTTGCTGCATCACAAGCAGATTCAAACTGTGACTTCCTTAAGCCACTAGGCTCCCTAACTGGATTAAATACAAGAAATAATAGTAGTCCAGTTTAGTAAATGATTACGGAAAACAGCTGTTTACCTGGCAATGCTCCAGTCAGGCTCAATCTTCAGGACAGTGGGGTCTTCGGTGTAATTAAACTTGACCTCAGGGTTTATAAGTTCAGCATCGTCAATGTCCACCAAAACTGATACACTGCCTGGTGCCAGTCCAGCTGGTGTAACACACACAATCTCACGGGCATTCCTCCTGGACAGAAAAGAGCAAAGTTGGAGTAGGGTGATCAACAAGCATTTCATTAGTTATACTTTAGACAGTGGCCAAAATCAGACGAGTGCTACATTTACACAGAGCTCTGTATATGGAAGACTGCAAAGCTAAAATCTAAACAACATCATAAGTAACTTTGAAAATGTTGCTTTCTCACATACTGTAAGTTTCTATTAAAAGAGTTTGTGTTTGTGCATGTGTGGGTCCATGCTTGAGTGCAGTCTTGCGTGTAGTCCCCAGTTGCTACGTTATCTAATATGTATTTAGCACAGTTGAGTGGTGGCTGCTTTTCTGGGCCATGACTTCAGAGGAGTGACGCATATATGTGTGTGTTTGTATGTGCAGTACTCTAATGAAGGGGTTGCACATTCTATTGTGCCTCTTTACATAATGGAAGCCACCCAGTCAGAGGGGGGACGTGCATGACTAATATTCAAGTGAAAGCTGTGTAAATGGTCAAATACAACTATGAAGAAGCATGGACTTCAAAGAAATTCATTATTTTATTTATTTATTGTTAATGTGATTGAATTGACCCTTTAAATACATTTGAGAGAAACAAGTTCATCTCCATGAAGAAATACAACACAGGCCAGTACCCTGAACCTTTAGTGCCAGTGGCAAATGAGTTATTACTTATTTGTTTTGAATTTATGGTTCACATAACTGAAATTTCTGGCCATGCATAGAAATAGACACATCATTGCACTAAGGACACATCGCTATCTGCAGAAACTCACAGGCTGAGTACAATACATTATGTTTCCATTAGGTCTACTATCTGTTGCCTTATATATTATTTATTTCAGTGATTAGATAAGTTCCATGCTTGCAGTAATACTGTAGATTGCATTGCATGCAAGCAGCAAAAACTCTCTCTAATAAACACTCAACAAGCCAGAAAAAAAGTGATTCTTCAGAGTAAACAACAGTCTATTTGGAATTTTGCTGAAAATAAAAAATGAAGCTACAGCTTTAATGGTGCTGGACTGATCCTGAACACGCAGCTGTGTGCCACTGTAGAAACAGTAAATCTGTGTGCAAAGGCTGAACTGTTTGCTGTGCAAAAAAGCATTTAGGTTAATAAGGCTGCAGTAAGGTCATAATGTCACAGCAGAAGATTTAAATAATTAATGGAGTTACTGCTGTTGTGCCACGTTTGTTAATTTCGCACAGCGCCTCTTCGATGTGGAGACAGACATATTGGTTGTGTTGCGATTTAATAAAGTCAAAGAAACAGAGTTACATTTTGCATTTGTTTGGACAACGTAGGAGAGTGTCTGAAAGTGGATGTTTCCAAGCCAGAAGTGTGAGAGTTGCCAACACTGTGATGCTCAAGGCGATGGAGCTGAGCTCCGGCAGGGTGCCATTTGGATGTCAGGAGGTGGGGCTTAACTCTGGTGGGCTCCGGCCCAATTTATTTCCTGCCTGTAACCATAGCAACTTATTCACAAAGAGCACATGTCCAGCAACCTTCATAAGATGCCACAGGCACAGTCACATAGCTGTGGCACAGCAGACAAAGACAGTTGAGGTGAGTGAATAGTTGTGATGAAGTGTTGGATTACTGTGAGGACGCTGTGGCACAGAAACACCAGCTGTGACATCAAAGCTAGCATACAGCTGTTTCAATAGAGATTAGCTGTGAGAGGCTAATCCACGCATTTGACATGCAAGCAACTGTGGTGATAGTTTGAATTCCTTCATGCATTAGATTAGGGAAAGTCAGTGTAGACAAAGAAATACTGTGTTTGCAAGCAACACACTCACTAAGCCACAAGCAGTCATGATCTCTCGTTCTCTCTCATATACACACATACTTGCACTTCTGTCTTTGTGAGGACACTCACTGACATAATGCATTTCATAGTCCCTTATTTTAACCATCTAAACTAAATGCCTAACCCTAATCCTAACCTAAACATAATTCTAACCTGTGCCCTAAAACCATTAACCCTCAAAAAGCTGTTTCAATAAGTGAGGACCTGCCAAAATGTCCTCACTCTGTAGCAAATAAATAAATAAAAATGTTTTTGGTCCTCACTATGTAGCAGGTACAAGAACACACACACACACACACACACACACACACACACACACACACTGATCACATGCTTACATGTGCATGTAATATCTTCATGATCATGATACTGTTTTGCAGTGCACAAAAATAAATTTTTAAACAAAGCATGTTTACTTGTGTTTTGTTTATTTTCTTTATCTTTATTTATTTGTTTCCTGCATTATCTACAGTGCCTTCAGTTATAATTGGGGATTTGTTTTACTACCATAAGTTTTCTTTATTTGTCTTTTTCTTATCTAAATCCTATTCTCCTCTGCTGTGATGCTCCAGTTTTCCCATAGGGACAGTTAAAAAGGCATTTAGATTAAAAAGGTTCTTACTTTTTGAAGTAGCAGGGCTGTGGTCCTATGCTGACAGACACATAGCTGCCCGCGTTGAGATAGCTTCCTTCAATGGTGACCCGGGTTCCGCCAGAAATAGGCCCCTGAGATGGCTGGATACGGGTGAAGAATGGAGTCTAGAGAAGAGAGGAAATGAGTGAGTTTACCATAATACCAAAATTAGTGGGTGAAAAACAACATGATTGTAATTTCTGTGCATGCATAATTATAAGCAGTATCAAGAAGATACAATGAAGAAAACAGTATGACACAAAAAGAATGTGTGGGATGACATAAAACCAAACCTATAAATACAGTATACTGCATATAATGTGACTTTAGCTAATTATATTGACAAAGTCATTAACCCACCTGTTATGTTAATTTCTCAGGAACAGCAGTGATGTTCCTGGGTTAATTTTACCATTACTTACCATTTCAATCACTATTTAGTGCAATGGTGTTCTTGACCTCTCACAGATTATGGTTGAATGAGGATAATAAAGTTGTTTTTCATTTTAAAAAATGCATGTTCAAACTTTTTGTAATGTACATTGGAAAGACGTACATATATAATACATTATTTTTACATAACATTGATTCTTTTAAATTTTATTTTACATCTTGAAATCTTTTCTTTCTATGAAGTGATATTGATAAATTAACATGAGACACCTCTTCTGTTCAGGATACCCAAACAGTATCTTTGTAATATAAACATGCAGGCGGAGGTTGAAAATATGTGAAATGAATCATTTTCATTTTATACGTTGATTACACCTATTCAGCCAAGCGGAAGACGTTTCATACCAATAAAATACTTTTTACTGTTTTTAGATTTTTTTAACTTTACAACAACATAAGAGGGTTAAGCACTGAAATGAAAAAAAAACTGAACATTATTTCTACAAAACACTAGAAACAAGCTCTATATTTTGAGTTTTCCTCACAGAGTCACTGTCATATTAAACAGTTTATGGAGCTTTTTTTTCCTTCAATAAAACATTTTAAGGCATCATGGTCCATATAAAACCACTGATATCAGAAAAGAAAAAGAAAAAAACACACAAATAGGTTGAAAAACCTATTTTTGTGGATATTATTTTTTAATACCAAACATACACTTACTGTGCATTAAAGAACAGAAAAACAAATCTAACAAAACAAACCACATAGAAACTAAATACAGTACATAAATAAATAAGTCAGAAGGAAAAACAAAGTATCTGATCCCACTTTTTTAACAAAACAACAACAACAACATAAAAACATTTATGTTATTGCTTGTTGAGGAAAAAAAAAGGGGGTGGGGGGTGGGGGTGTGTAGTAGTTGTATGGATCTTACCACAAATGTGAATGGCCTTGGTGACAGAGCTCTATAGTCGTTGACACAGTCTCTCACACACACCTCCACCTGAGCCTCTTGGACCCTGTAGCCAGTAGCATCGTTCAGCAGACACACTATTCTGTAAAAGAAAAGATTGTGACCAAAAGGAGAGAGGAAGAGATCAGGGTAAATCAAATTGTAAATTTAGATTTTTTTTATGGTTATTCTTTAGTAACAGATGCATCTTATCCATTAACCGGTTTGCAAAATGACAAAACTGTGCTAGCCAAATTAACAAAACAAGGACACACAGCACATTAGTCCACATGCAGACATTACTGTTCCCGATGAAGAATATTCAGAGGTATTACATTTTTCACCTGCAGTCCCTGTGCTTTGTGCTTTAGACACAGCAGGAGGGAATAAATGGTCAGTCACATGACCACAGTAGGCTTTGGATGCATAGTACACTGCAGCAAAGTACCCTATGAAATATATCTGAAACCATGTCTCAGGACTGCTGAAAGAAAGGAAAAGAAGAAATCGAACTAGGAAACAGGGGACTGTCAGGAATAATGACTGATGTGTAATATTTGAACAGAGATGTCCTTTATCTCAACATGCATCATTTCCCGACTAACTGCACAAAAACGAGATTGTTTGATCTGCGTGAACTCAATTCCTTGGCTGTGCAGGACTCTGCAGAGGAGTAAATGTCAGGATGAGGGGAGGAGAAAAATAAAGGAAACAGCATATGTAGGGAGTAATGGAGGGGAACGACAGATGGAATTTACAAATACAGAAAAGCCCTAGCTTTCCAGCTGCTGAGTAAAGCTACGCCTACACAGAAACACGTGGCGGTTGACCCTTTTCTGTTGTTTCACTGGTCAGGATGACAGAGGCAGTTTGGTGGCGATGGCCTTTGGTGTGTGTGACTCCAGTTGTATAACTGTGGGTTTCTTTGAGAGAGGCAGTTGCTGTCTGTGGGTACCTTGCATGTGTGTTTGACTATTTGTGTGTGTGGGTGCTTGCATGAACATCTTTATGTGTTTCCTCTGTTCTTTAACTTACCTCTCTGCACTCACATACTCCTCCTCAATAGGAACACAGGGCACCTTGCCCAACCTGACACCCATCTGGATGTCTCTGAACTGCAGACCCAGGTTCTCGCCGAGGATGGTCACTCTGGTTCCCCCTTGACGAGGCCCAGTCTCAGGGAACAACTGGACCAACAAGATGATGGAGGACAAAGGTCAGGATGGACAGAGGAAGAGGCATGTACAAAGAGTATATAGAAAAAAGACAGGATGAAGGAAAATCAACAGTTTCAGATTGTGTATTGCCCCTTTTTAACCAGTTTAAAATCTGAAAACGGCAGAGGTAGAAGAAGTACTCAGAGCTTTTTCTTCAGTAAAGGTAGCAATACAACAGTGTAAAAATAGTCTGTTACAAGTAAAAGTCCTGCATTCAAAATGTTACTGGAGTGAAAGTACAAAAGTATGAACATACTTGAAGTACTAAAAGTAAAAGTACTCATTATGCAGAATGGCACTTTTCACATTCCTGTATATCATATTATTGGATTATAACTACTGATGCATTGTTGTGTACATCACATTTAATGTTGCAGCTGGTAAAGGGGGGCTAGTTTGAGCTAGTTTATGTTCATTTAATTTGAATTACTGCTGGGAAGCTTGTGAATTTTCCACCATAGGTTAGTGAAGTCTTATAATTATACAGTGTTTTTTCTATGAATATGATTATGAAAAGTAACTAGTAACTAAAGTTCTAAAATAAAAGTAGTGGAGTCAAAGTATGAAGTAGCAGAAAATGAAAATGCTCAAGTACAGATACCTCAAGACTGTACTCTCAAATAGATACAAAGGCATAAACATGCATAAGAAGACATAGAACCAACAACCCACAAAGCACACACACACACACACACACACACACACACACACATACACACACACCATATACAGAAATGACCACATCAGGTGATTCAAGTTTTAATGAAGAAAAATCACCCTCTTTGCTTTGAAAACAAAGAAAATGAGATAAAGAGAGGGGGAAAAAACAAGCTATGCCAACACACAGAACGAAACCAGCATCATCTTGAGGGTTTAATTGAAACTTATTACGTTGTCTTGGCTTCGTTGCTGGGGCTGTGGCGGTGTATCGCTCAGTCGTGCCACAGAACCGTAATGTGATTTATCTATCCAGATTATGGCGCATAACGGGGACAGGTGTGGTGTGACAAAACAAATATGGAGACTGATGGACAGTGGCTGTCACAGACACGCACACACACTACAGCACAGACATACACAGGCGACACTAGTCCCTAACACGCACATCATGAGGTAATTATATGTAATCTGTCTGCTGCCCTGTTCTGCAGTGCTTGGCTGAGCAGACAGCGCAGTGTGGAAATGCAAACACAGGCAGCGACAGTATCGTGCCGTACTGCTATTATTATACCGCAACAAAGTACCATACAGCAGATCTTGTCAAATGGTGATTTCAACAGTGTGGACTCGTTTGGAGAATGAACAATTTGTTTTGTCAGGCACATGAGATTTAATTCCAAACCTTTATACAGAGAAAGTCAGCTGAGATCCAAACCCTTTTCAGCACCCTGATTCAGTCTTTACTGCTGGTAATGAACAGCACCACTGGAGTAGCTGTGCAAGAGTACCTCTGGTGCAATCATTAATAGATGAAGAAGAAGCCTTAATATTTGAATTTCCCCGCATAAAAATAAACAGATGGTTCAAGAAATAGTATATAAACAACTTTACTATGTTGCATTGCCTGACGTAGAGAACATTGAGAAAATTTAAAATTGGAATGGAAAGAGAAACATTCTGAATGAAAATGCTCAAATTCAAGTTTAAATATAAGAGATTGAATTGAAAATGGAAGTTGATGTAATGATAAAAAACATACAGAATACACAACACAGTGGTTATAGAAAAGAATCACCCATTTCAAAACAATCACATTTTGTTGTTTCACAGCGTGAAATGAAATAAAAAAAAAATTGCCGCTTTATTTACTCAATGCAGCTTACAAAATACAAGTAAAAGAAAAATATCAACAGTTCTGAAAAATAAAAAATAAAAAAGTGGATTTTGGAAAAGAATCTCTCCCACCCCCCACCCCTGCATTAAAAGCTTGTGGAACAACTTTTTGCTTTAATTACAGCCTTGAGTCTGTTTGGATAACTCTCTACCAGCTTTTATCATCTAGTCCGAGCAGTGTTCGGCCACTCTCCCTTACAGAACTGTTCAAGCTCAGTCGCGCTGGCTGGTGACCGGACTGCAGCCTTCAGGTCAATTCACAGGGTTCACATCTGGGCTCTGACTAGGCCATGTGAGAACAATGACCTTTTACTCCTTCAGCCACTGTATGGTCACTTTGGCTGTGTGCTTCATTGTCATTGTTATGTTGAAAGGTGAACCTTCTTCTTATCTCTGGCTTTCTGGCACATGGCAAAAGATTTTCCTCAAGAATTTGATGGTACTTTGCCCCATCCTTTCTCACTTCTATCCTGAGAAGTGCCTCAGTCCCTGCTGGAGAGAAACACCCCCACAACAGGACGCTACCACCTCCATGCTTCACTGTAAGTATGGTCTTCTTTGGATGGTGACTTGTATTGTCTTTCCACCAGACGCACCGTTTCACATTGAGGTCAAAGAGTTCAATTTAGTTCTAACCTGAAACTTGAAGAGCGCTTGTGATATTGTTGTCACATGCACACAATGACCACTCTTTGCCATGAAGTCCTGTCACCCCTTCAGAGTTGTCACTGGACAGTGGCACTCTTGGTAGCCTCTCTGACCAGTCTCCTCCTCACTTTGCCATCCAGTTTGGAGGGACGGCCTGACCTGAGCTGAGTCATGGTCGTATCAAACACCTTCCTCTTCTTAATTATAGACTTAGCTGTGCTTCCAGGGATAGAAAATTCCTTTGAAATTCTTTTGTACCCATCTCCTGACTTTCCACAAACGTTTTAGATTTATTTATTTTATTATTTGATTTTGAATTTGAATAGTTTGAATTATGATTGAATAATCAAAGTAATGCCTGAATGCACAGTACAGTATGTTGGAATGAATGAGTTGGGGTTTGAAAGCCTTACTGTGAAAAACAGTATAGTAACTGGAGTGATCTGAATGAAGAGAGCAGAGCTAGAACAGCCTGTCCTACTGTTTGGAAGCTGACTCACGTTGGAACCCCAGGCACCAGTAGAGCCTCAGCAATTTGGTTCCACAAACACGATTGCTGGTAAACACTGACCAGAGACGAACAGGCATCAAGCTCCAGGGTACATTATGGACAACAGATGTCAGGGTGTGGAAATGGAGCTTTAGATGGTTTTGGAAGAATTAAGCTATGATACCACAAAACACAATATCGGCTAGCCACTAGGCTAAACACTGGCAGAGCCACAGACAGGCAACAGAGACAGAAAAAGAGGAGTGCTGTAAAAAGAGATTACCACCATCATCTGAGGGGGGGCTTTGAGAAAGGGACCAGGGATGACTGTGGAAACATACTGTTACACCATAAACACACACAACAGTCAGCAGAGCTTGGCAGATTGACAGGATTCTATGCATATATACCATTAGAACACAGATGAACACAGGTGCTAAATTATTTTTACTTCTAATGTATAATGTTACCCACAATGTGTAAATCACACAGAGACCAGCACAGAAAAGCTACAGAACTTAGGTTAGGGGGCGAGTTGAACGATAAGGCCAGTGACTTTCTTTTTTGTTCTTTCCCACAAATCCCATACAAAGACTAAAGCCAACCATGAATTTCGTGTTCCCATTATAATGCCTGTGTTCTTGATCTCCATTGCTGTCCAGAAACTATTAAAACATAGTGAGCATAAATGGAAACTACCTCAGTGCATTTAGTCAAGTATTGTATTTGAGTACAGTTTTGAGTATTTTCATTTTCTGCTGCTACATTTTAGAGAAAACGGTTGTACTTACTACATGGAGTGGGGAGAATGGGAATCGAACTGCCAACCATCCATTTAGGGAAATGACTGCTCTACCTCCTGAACCATAGCCGCCGCCTAATAACATACATTCATGTAAAATGTGCCATTTTACATAATGAGTATGTTAACGTCAGGTACTTGAAGTGTATTTTAATGCTAATACTTTTGTTCTTTTGTTTTGAATCCAGAGTATTATACACTATAGTATTACTATTTTCACTTAAATAAACAATCGGAGTACTTCATGAGCCACAATGCTGCACTGTGTGAGACGTTTCTTCCTCACAAAATGTACGAAGTACATCTTATTTGAAAAAGCCAGAAACAAAAACACAGACGATCAGCAGCCTTGTCCTTTAAGATGGACCTCCATCTCTCAGTACTGAATTTCTGACTTGGTTGGTGGCTCTATGAATGTCTGTCACTCCCCATCCATATTAGTGAGATGACACTGTAGGTGAGGTTGTGATTTCTGTGTATTTTGTTCATACTGCCACCTCATGCACTCAGCACAATGGGCCCAACAAAAACTGGAAATCTCAACGTTCCTCAAAACCACTGAGGGGGGAGCATTGAGAAAATATTACAGGTTACATGGATAACCAACAGGATGCAGGACTGCTGACCAAATGCAGATGCCTTTCATACTACATGAAACAAGTAGACTTAAGGAAGCAAAAACATTCCTTTTATCAACCACATTATGATCTCTAGCTATGTATCTGAAACATGATCGTTGTGGTAGAGAAGACGAAGCCAGACCACTGCACATACTGAATGAAAAACTAATGTTTTTGCACCATTATAATATTCCTCTGACAGCTGAGAGTGGATTTCCATTGGAACCTCACAAACTCTTGCATGTCCAAAAGAGTAATGCCGCATAACGTGATAGCCAGTGCTCACTGAGCCTGTGGGCATGCAGGCACACACCACAGTGTGGCAATGGGACCTCAAGCAGCTTTGGACTCATGTTGCAGTGATTTAACACAACACTACTACATCCAGGCACATAATCACCACTCTCTGGGGAATGTAAAGCACAGATGCCCTGAAACTGAAAACAGACCTTAGGCGGTTTTGCAAAGAAAGATCTGATTCAACAGATCCACCTTTAAGCACTAACTGACAAGCCTGAGGATATAACTACAAAATGGTAACAGATATAACTGTTCCACATGAGCAGCCAAACTGAGC